CAGGCAATCTGATCTCTCATGCACATTCATAATTAAAAATTCCCTGCTAAGTTGCATGTTTTTGTAAAAGCATTATCTTTCCTGTGAGCTCTGTGTCCTGCAGCATCCTGCAGAAGGCAAGCAGGAGGCAATTTAGACACAGAACAATTTTCCTCCTGCTGGAAAAAGGCAGATTTCTGCTCCTCAGGGACACGGCGCAGCGCAAGAAAAATAAAAGCAAAAAACAAAAACCCCAAGCCCAGACTGTAATCTACAAGGCCACATTGCACATCTGTTTTTGTAATGTTAACTTTTATAAAAGGGCTGGGAATAACACAATCAATTTACTTTTCATTTTGGAAGGTTATAAATTTAAAAGCAAGGCTGGTGCACGGCGGAGCTGGAACGCTGAAAGTTATTCTCAAAAAACCCAACCCTCTACTTACAGCAAATGCTGCTCCACTGAAAACGAAAAGTAACTGTATATATTTTGGGGCAACACTGATTTTTAAAAGTTACCACACTGATTAAGTCCAGATGATTCCAAAAGAACCACGGAAAGCAACCCAAGTTTGGGAGAGGTCAGTCCTCCCTGCCGTTGCTCCACGGACCCCAGACTTCTTGCTCTATATTCACACCATAAATTAGCAGCGTAAAGCCATTCCAGAAATGCCAACAGCTCTCCACTCTGCTGCTCTCATCCCTCTTGTTTGCAGGCCCCAGAAGATAATAAATGAGGCGAGATGTCAGCACATCTCCCCACTCTCTCGGCTCTGTTCATTAGAGGCAGGCTCCCGACGTGCACTCGCAGCGCCCGCTCTGATTCCGGGCTCGGGGGCAGGCAGGGTACCAGGCAGGGATTCAATTAGTGTCCCACCTCTGCTTCGTTTCTCATAAACCTCACTCAAAAGTCGAGGTCAGCGAGGCTGTGACGTGCTCGGACTGCAGACGGCCGTGCTGCCCAGCAGCCTCTAATTGCTTCCTGGAGCTAAGCAGCCCCGAGGCAGCCGCTGCCTCTCCTCCTCGGCTGGAAGCTCTCTGGGGCACGGACTGCCCCTTCTGCTGGGCTTCTTCAGCATCTCCCCCACCTCGTCCTTCAGCAGACGTCCCCGAGATGTGCTACACCAGCCACAGCCTCTGCAACCTGATGGAGAAATACAGCTCGGGACGAGGCAGGAGCACAGCTCCTGAGCACGTGGCTGAGCCCACAGAGCAGAGGGATTTGGGGGTGAGGCTGCAAAAAGGGAGCAGAAACAGGCAAGGGGCTGCACGGGCAGAGCTGCTTCCATCCCACGTCTCACAGCAGGGGAACAGGAGCTCCCCAGCTTCCCAGGCTGAGCCAGTGGCAGACGGCTCTGATACAGAGAGAGAGAAGGGCTGAAGGCCAAAAACAGCCACAATGGGAACAGAGAGGAAGCCAGCCCTCATCCTTCATGCTGGGACAAGCAGGGGGCCAGCCTGGTGGAGGGGACCAAGGAGACATCCCAAGGCAGTGGGAAGCCAGGGAGAAGTCCTTCTCCCCCTGCAAAGGGGGAACGAATGCATAAAATGGTAATAAAGAGATTAATGGACAGCTTGAGGGTGCTGGGACCAAGGTTAGCCCAAAGGAAGCGCTCGTGGAAGGAGGGTTGTTCTTGACAGATGGACTCAATTTGAATGCACGAGGAAACAGCCTCCTGGGATGGAAGCTGCTCCTGTGATAAGAGGCTTTCAGCCGAGAAACGCAGGGACGTGGTGCTAGCGTCATCCCTACCTCCACCTTTACCACCAGGAAAAAGAAAAATACAGCTGTGGCCTCAAAAAAAAAAACAAACATCAGACAGACAGGGAGGAGGCAGGAGTATAAATACCAGTAGGACGGCAGTCACTGTGTTGACTAAGGAACTGGATGTGGTCAGTAAGGAGCAGCTCAAATGTTTACGCAGTACCGAAAGCAGCCCGGGTAACCAAACGGACACTGAGGGGATGAGAGGAACACGGGGAAACAGAAATCATGGCTGGAGTATACAAAACAAGCAGTGTCCAACGCTCAGAGGGCTCTGGAAGGAGTTTTTGGAAGAAATAAGGGCAAATGGAAAACAGGATAAATGCGGCGCGTGTTTACCTAAGGTGGGTTGTGCCAACGACCTGAGGACTGATGTTCCAGCTGGAGGAAAAGCAGCAGACCTAATCCCAGCTGCCTCCCACAACGTGTTCCCCACACCGCCTGCCTGGGAGGTGGTTCCTGGTGGCAGAGATCACGACCTGAGGGCAAGGTTTGTCAAAATGGCAAAGCCCTAGGCGGGGAGGATAAAGCCTGGAGCATCCAGCGAGCCCCCGTGGTGGCGAGGCAGCAGCAAGCCCCCAAAGGGAGATGGAGGTGGGGTGCTGGAGGTGGTGCCCAGCAGCTTGGAGCAAACCTGACTTTCCGGGCACCTTGGTGGTGACCAAACATCTCCCTGCTGGTTCTAGGAAGGTCTCAGCAAACCGTGAGCGAGGTGGAGCCGCTCCTGGTGCCCTCTCCAGAGGATCCCCAGCATCTCAGAGCCCTGGCCCTGATATAGGGTGAGGGACTGGCTGTCCCCACGCCGTCGGTGGCACGGAGGGGCTGGCGAGCAGCAGCGAGCTGCTGGCAGATGGTGGAGACGCGGGGGGCACGGGAAGGAGGGGCAGAGAGATGCTGGTGGCTGCGGGGAGGAACGGCCGCAGCAGAGCCGGTTCCCGTCCAGGACGACAGCTTGCATATGGATAAACAACGAGATAATTACAACCTTGAAGGAGGGGGGCGAGGGGAGGCAGGGGGGGGTGGAGAAAAGCCCGTGGCTGCAGCGTCCTCCTGCTGCCAGCTCCTGCAACCCATACGTCCCGCCCGGCTCCCTCCGCAGCCTCAGCGCAAGGAAATTACTCGCCATAAAAGCCCTGGCTGGAGCACGGCATCAGATACAGCTGTGAAACCATTTATCTATTGATAGACCCCCATTGTCAGGGACTGGGGCTTGGCTTTCGTGCGAGCGAGCAATTTGGAAAAAAGCGAAAAATAAATAAATAAATAGATAAATAAATAAAAAATCCAACAAAAATGACAACCCAAAAAAAAAACCCTAGCAGCCAACAAACAAACAAATAAAGAAGGAGAGAGAGACAATACCCAACAGCTCGCAGGGTTTTTGCAGGCCTCTGCCAGCTGGGAAGCTAAGCGTATGAAATATGCATCGCACCGAACAAAGCGAACTGAAACGCTCAGCGCGGGGAAGCTGTAACCCTTTCCTGCGCGCAGGAGCTGGGCACGAGGTCCGGAGCTGGAGCTGGGATTCCAAAAAGTGAAGGGGAAAAAAGGTGAAAGGCATGGGGGTGGTGGGTAAAGAGGGGCGCTGATACCTTGCTGTGCCCAGGCTCTGGGTTAAATACTTACTGGGGTGCCTTTACGGTCAGGTTTGGTGTTTAGGGACTGCTTCTTAGTGAGCTGGGGTGGCTCCGAGCAGGCGAAGCTGCTGCTGTCCCCTGATGCCTGCTCCCACACCTCCCAGCTCCCCGGGGAAGCAGGGGAGGAATCGCTTCTCCGAGCACTTGAAGAATGGGATCTCATCTCCCCAGGGGACCTCGATCTGCACCGAACACCCCAGAGCTGCTCTCAGCCCGGGGTGCAGCAACAATTAGCAAGTATTTGGCACGGCAGCACCTAAAAAACCTGAGCAAACTGGGAGTGAGCGAGCACGGGGCTCCTGGGTGCTGCAGGGAGATGGGAGGGCTGGAGCACGTGGGTGGGAGGCATCCAGCACTCTAATCAAGGGACGGGGGAAAAAAAAAAACGAATTGAGGCGCAAAGAGCTCCAGCAAACTTTCAGCTAAGTAGATTATTGATCTTCGGGGCGTGCCAGGAGCCAGCTCTGCAAATTGCACCAGTCCCCTGCCGCGAGCTCGTGCAGTTACCGGATGGTGGGGCACAAAGGCTCCCCGCCTCGCCACCGCCACGTCCCCGGGGTCCTGGCTGTGCAGGATGGCGACGTGCCCCAGGGGTGGCACGGAATGGCAAGCAGAGCTGTCCCAGTGCTTAACGGGAAGGAGCAGGTCTGTTGTGTGCTGCTGTCAGGAGGGAGCAGGAGGCTGAAGCCTCAGCCCAACGCGAGTGGGGAAGGCGCTGACCTTGTGAGGCTCTTGCTACAGCTAAGCAAATAATTTCCTTGGCAAATGCAGGCGCTCGCAGGAAGAAGAGGGGGGGTTTCTGGCTCCTCGCAGCCCAGGCGAGGTGTGAACGCCTCACAGATTGCCCTGACAATGTGCCTGACCCCGTCACCGAGATCGGCTCCTCGTCACCGAGATCAGCTCCTTGCGGGAGCCGCAGGGATGCTGCGAAGAGACGGCTCAGAGCTGAGCTCTTGGCAGGGTGCTCAGCTCCTCACCGCATCCCGCAGGTACTCGTGGCCCCACCATGCTCCTCGGGGATGTCCTGCCCCAGAGCATGGCCCCGTGTCCCCCCCCCCACAGCCAGGACCTGCTCGGTGCTGGCAGTTTCGTTATTATCTGGGCAGGAGGAGCACAGATGTGCACCGCGCTCCCTGTGTACGGAGAGAGGTCCCTGCCCTGAAAGTGGTGTAATTGAAGCAGACGGCAGGCGTTTATTGCGCCGGCCGGGCTGCTGGGAGGTGTTTATTTCCTACAGGGGAACCAGCAAGCCATTACGTGACATTTGGTAATTTTTCATATCATCGCTACCAAACCACGCAGAAATGCCCGGAGCGGGGACACAGCCACAGGGCTGTGTACGTCCAGCCCCGACCCTGCTGCCACCTTCCTTCTTCCACCAGGACCCTTCTTCCACGGCAAGTCCACACCACAGCTCTCACAACCTCTGCCACTGAGCTTTAAGCCTTGGAGCCCTCCTGCAGGGGAGGTTTGACATGGTGTGAACTTCTTACACCATCACCCACCGCCCTTGCACCATTGCCCTCACCTCCCGCCCCGTGCGGGGAGCTGGAGCACTTCAAAGGCTGGGGAGGAGGGAACTTTTCGTGACACGAGCAGAGAACAGGGCTGAGCACTACCTGTGTGCCGTTTTCATCTCCCTGAGCATGGACGGTGTAGGAGCGACCACCACTCCTCAAAGTCTCGGTGGCAATGCACACCTCCACGCCGGGCAGCGGGGTCCCCACCGAACCTGTGAAGGCAACGGAACAGGAGTGAAGCAGTGGACGGCCCCTGGGGAACAAAAAGGATGCAAAAGAGCAGCTGTTCTTCTATCCATGGCATCTGCAGCCTGCGCTGGCACTAGAGAACTCCCTAGCAGGGGGTTACCCTTCAGGAAGGCTTCGATCACATCCTATGTCTGCATGCAAATGTCACGGCGCTGCAATCCTCCGCTTGGTCGCTGAGCAGGCAGTGCTGGAAATGCCTAGGAAAACAAACGTGTCTCCAGCCCTGAACAGCCTCTCTTGGCCGGCCTTTGAAGACATCAGCACAGCTTCGTGGCTCAGTAATGAAGCTGTCTTTAAAAAAAAAAAAAAGAGCACCGTGAAACCTACACAAAGATGAGAAAAGAAAGGACACAATGATTGCTGCAGTGGCTCACTGCTTCCCTATAGCCTGGACCTGACAGAGAAGGCAAAGGCTTAACGGGGTAAGAATTGCAAGGGATTATCTCAGTTTTATGAGGCATCAATACACCGTATAGAAAACATCACAGGAAGAAAGCAGAGATCAAAGCCACCACATTCTTCCACTGGGTTCAATTCTCAAAGCCAGGGTGTCTGACACGGAGGCACAAACAACTGCTAGTAAGCTCCAAGACAGTACTGTGACCACAGGATCCCAAACCTGCATCCTGCAGGGCTCCCACCCTTGCTTTCATGTATGCTCTTCGTAGTAGGCATCTGAAAACCCAGCCCAAGGGGCAGCTTTGTTCCTGCCACCTCTGTGTGCCAGGGGGCTCCAGGCACAGCAGCAGCCAAGGGTCTTGGGCATCTGCTGGCTCAGCAGGTTTCCCCTGCACCGGGCACAGAACACTGGGCACAGAGCATCAGCACCGAGCAACCTGTGGCTTGGGAGGGCTGGGCAGGTTAAACTGGGAAGCGTGCTCTTTATTTAGTAATGATCAATGTTTCCATCTGCTTTCTAACTCTGCTCATCAAGCAGCACGCTCAGCCCAACACGGCGTGGTTGGGAAGTCCCCAGAGCAAGGTGAGCAGGACCCGGAGCCCGGCACTGCCTGCCCCTCGTTACCTGCATTTAAGGTATTTGGGCTCAAGGGGCATTTTCCGTGTCCTGGTCTCGTTCTCCCATTCAAGCCCTGGAGGTCTGGTGTCTGACATCACGGTTTAGTGTTTGCTACATTGGTCAGTTGCCATGGAAATAGATGTGTCGTCGTAGCCCAGATTTATGGCATCCCTGCAGGATCAGCTAAGAGCAGATGGGCTATGAGGGAGTGAGATTTTATTGCAGCGAAACTACCCTAACAATTAGCAAATCTGGCAAGAAATAAACAGAAGCTACATGGCAGTTCCGTGATGTGTGTCTGTTCAGCTCGAGCTTGCCTTCAGCATTTGGGTCAGCTAACACGGACGGCCAGGTCCTTCCCCTGCCGTGAGCCTCACCCAGGCTGCTCTAGCACAGCCAGAATCACTGCCAAAAGTCCAAGACAGGCAACTGCAGCAGAGCAGGGAGGGAGAGTGGGCTACATTCTTCTCACCAGGAGTTAAGTGCCACCTGAGGTGCCGTGGAGAGGTATTTATGTATTTTAAAGAGTCTGGTACCAGCCATGAGACTCCAGGACGACTCCAAGCGAGTTATAATTCATGGAAAACGAGCCAAATGTTTGCACGTCGAGCTTGCCAGAGCCACCTTCTAGAATTCTATGGGAACATTTTCTCCAGTGTGAAAAATACCTTGTGCTGACAGCCCCAAACCTAGCTGAAAGACGCGGCAAGGGACAGCAGGCAGACACGGCAAGTAAATGAAGTCAGGCTTACAAGGTGTGTGGAGGGGAGCACTAGCCAGTGCAGTGAACTGCCACAGATTTGGCAGCTCTGGAAGCCTTCAGATCATGATCAGATAGATGCAGCATCCTTCTTCACTTTATGCATCTATCCTCCTCAGTGCAGAAGGGCGATGGGCAGCACTGCTAAACCATCAGTGACAGCTGCTGGTCTTGGTCTTTGAGAATCAAACGTCAAAGGTCAGCCAACGCTTTCAAACACACCTGAAGCCACAGAGGAGTCAACACATCCCCCACACAGCGCAGGGCTTTGGATCGCATTTACAAGTACAGCTCCATCAATTCATTTCTTATTTGGCTAAAGTAAAACCAACATGTAAAATAAGCCCCTCGTGGGGAGCTGTTTCCTTATGTTCTGTCTGGAGAAGTCTTTTCGGTAGTTAGGAAAAATGACAAACTTGGAAATTGACATCTGTAAAGGCTGAAAATGCTCACAGCATTGACTAGAGCTACACGAGCCTGACAGTATTAATAAAAACCGTGCAGAGGCAATGACTAGAGCTCCTCAAGCCCTCTGCCACGTTAAAACGCACACCACGCCGACTCCAACAGGTCGGTGCTTGGCTGAGCGGGTCCCCAAGGCACAGCCCCAGAGCTCCTGTCTTTCTTGAGACCTGAATCAAAACGGGGTCAGAACTCAGCCCTGCCTTCCTTTTGTCAGCAGCCACAATTCAGGGAGGGGGAACTGGGGAGAAATCCCTGCTTTCTCCTCTGGCTCCCTCCCCCTGCCCTTCCAGCTCCCTCCAATTTGCGCGCTGCCGAATGTTAAGAAATGCTGGCGGCGTGCCCACGGTGTCAGCTCAGCCAGCCTCCGCCGGGCTGCAGTCAGCAAGGAGTGACACTATTATTCTTCCACCGGTTCTCCTCTGTTTAAAAAAGTTGTCAGCTCTTCCCAGATAAATTTAATTGGCCCTGCGGTCTGTGTCCTTCGGTATCGGGGGACCTCGATGCTGTTATGTGCGGTGGTGTCCTGGGAGAATTGAAACAGGCCAACGATAAGGCACTCAACGATCTCACTGTCAACAATACACGGAGTCCCCGCTGTAGGAGCTATTAGCCGCCTCTGATCTAAACCTCCAATTAAAGTGGTGATTAGGCCCAGCGAGGCATTCTCTGTCCATGAATTATTCATCTCCCTTCACAGTAACAGCACCAGGGGGATTAGAATGAGAGCTGGTGAAAACAGAGGCATTTTAAGCAGGGTTTTAACCGTATACAAGCAAACATTTATCTTTCCAATCTTTCATCTTTTCTTCTTTTGGAAATTAAAGGCTCCCACCCTGCCTTGCTCCTTCAGATCCGTGCTCCGGTAGTGCCCCGTTGTCCTGTGGGGACGCGGGCGGGCGCTGAGGCCTCTGCCCTTCCCCAGCCACACCGAGCGGGTGTGAGAGGGCAACGGAGGCCCTGGGCCTCTCCTCAGAGGCAGGAGCTCACAAAGGAGCAGAGAAGGACCATGAGAAGACGTGAAGAAGAGATCACTTCTGCTCCGAGTGTGAGGATCTGTACCCTGAGACCTGCCTCTGCAGGCCGGGGTGGATCACCGCTGGGACAGGCACTTGGAGCACAGCCACGTTAACTGCTTGGGCTGCCGGGTGACAGGCAGTGGCATCGTTCTGAGACAAATTTCTGAGCTGTCCACAGTCATCCCCGTCAATTTCATTATCTATTTGCTGGCCCCTTCAATATGGTTTAAGGCACCGAGGGCTGCTGAGGCCCAGCCTCCATCACGGTGAGCTGCTGGCGGAGAGGGGCGGCCACCAGGCTGCTGCAAACGGGGAGTCCTCTGCTGCTCAGCCACATTTATGGCATTATTTTTTTTAAATAAAGCTTTGGGCAGCGCGTGGGGCTGCGGTCAGCCACTGGCTAGCACCTTTCCTATAACACTCAGTGCTGTCTGAGGTCTTTTTTGCAGTAAGCTCACTGTTCCTCCTGCTCCAGGCACTGTCCCCAGCCGACTGCTGTATTTCTCAGCTGAGTCGTTCACACTGGGTACTCTGCTGTACCTGGTGACCTTACATCCTAGTCTCTAATGGGGTACTATATCAAAAGCTTTTCACAGCTCTGGTAAATTATGCCTCAGCTTCACCCATCTGCTTCCCAACTGACAATTCCTGAAATAAATTAATCAAGCCTATTCAATTATAGCCCTCTGCCTGTAAGGTCTCTGGCTGATCCACACCTTTGTCAGATTCTTCTCTCTCCCTTCTGAAGGAAGGGCAGCCTTTATACCCAGCCCCTCTGCTCGCAGCTCTATCAGGTTATTTGTCCCCAGGTCCCCTGCAGACCCCAGTAATGCCAGAAACTATGCACTGGCTTTGCTTGGGAGCACATGGACCCAGTTCCAGAATAAAGAATTTCCTGCCCTTCCTTCATTTCTGACTTCCCACCTTTGGTCTTATTTCCTTTCTTCCTTTGTCTCCTGGGAAATGTATAGAGCCTCTACTCATTGCCCCTACTAAAGATAAAGAAAAAGCAAACATCACCAGGCTGTGGGGACGAGCATTACAGTCACTCTGCAGAAGTAAACCATGGTTTGTATTTCATGCTGCCCCCGAGCTGTTCTCAGGTTCAGAGCCAGTGCTGGGCGAAGCTGTGGCTTCTCCTCTCCCTGTGCAATCCCTTCAGGGGCACAGGTGCCACAAGCTGTCAGGACAGAGGTGCTGTGGGAAGCCACAAGGCACAGGACAGGCCCCCCGGGTAACAACAGTCCCCCGAGAGACCAAAACGATGCATATGGTGCCATGCGTGTGCAGACAGCATGTGGGGAGGAGAAGGTGGCATAGTGGTGGGCTGGGTTGCTTGGCAGACAGATGGCCACGTTTTTAACCAAAGGGAGGGTGGGGGCATTTTATATTTTTAATGTTTTAGATCAATTTATTTCTAGGTTACATAAAACTACAGATATTGAGGAGTCACCAAGTGTAGCTAGGAGAAGTGAGGGAAGACAAGGAGAGAACAGAGCCAGGGTGTACAACGAGGTGTGACAATTTCTAATTCTTGAAGAGTTAAGGAACTTGCACTAAAATAAGAGTGAGCAGACATCCTATTTTAAATGTTCAGTACTGATTGGTAGGACATGAGCTGCTCTGTGGAGAACCCTGTGTCAACACCCCACACAGATACAACTTCAGAAAGCAGAAGCTGAAGACGCAGACCCATCACCGTGCTTGAACTCAGGAAGACTTTGGAAATCATAAAGCATCCAATATGGACCCTGCTTCTAGAACAGACCTAGGCTGGCTGGTTGGGCCAACTTCCACCACTGTGAGCTCTGCACGCACAGCTTTGCCAAGGCACCATGGGCAGTAATCCCAGGGAAAGCTGCCAGCCGCTTCCCACACACTCATGGCCTCTCCTGGCTTCCCAATGCCAGCTCCTCTCCCAGCACCGTTGTTCATACCATAGCCCACTCCTGAATTCTGGTAAATGGTGAATAATTCACAGCAAAACACCTCTGAACTGAGCCACCCTCTTGAGACTCCTACCTGGGACACGGACTCCATGCAAAGGGTTAGAAAGCGCCATCCCAATCTCCGTCATCCCATACCTCTCCAGCAGCGTGTGCCCAGTGATGCTCTTCCACTTCTCCAGGACAGGCACAGGCAGGGCTGCGGAGCCTGATACCATCAACCTGCACAAGAAACACCACATAAGAAAGCATCCAAGATGACCTTTGCTCCAGGGAATTTGCATTCGAACACAAGGCTACACAAAGAACACTCCTACATAAAACCTTAAGACACAAGTTCCCAAAGCCTTTAACCAGTACCAAAGATATCCCCACATACAGAAGATTCTCTGTCTGATATGGATTTTAAATTTAGATGGGACTGACTCCTAAAAGAGATGCTGCAGCACAAGCTTGGTTTGCGGGATGAAGTCCTTACTTTTGTGTTACATAGGTTGACACATACAGTAAGCACGCAGACCCCTTCTGGCTTTATCATGCACGAGTGGCTCATAATTAAATAATGTCACCCCCGTTCTTGTCAGGGAGACACTAAAGCACTCCAACCTGCCTGGAAGTGCAGAGGGGTAAAGCCAAAGAAAAAACTTGCAGATCCCCTGGTACGACAGCCTCCAGCAGCCCCTGCCGGGTGCAGAGCTGAGAGGTGGAGGTGGTGCAGAGGGGCAGCGCTCACCTACCTGATATTCTCCTGGCAAAAGGCACGCACAAAGTCCTGGACCTGTGGCTGAGAGAAATGCTTGTCGTAATACTCTATCAGCTTGGCATAGATGGTGGGCACTGCCATGAAGACGTTGACACGGGGAGCTTGGGTGCTTAGGAACTTCTTCCAAACCTAGAAAGGAAGCAAAGACATATAAAAAATGCACCTCGATATCAAATGCAGAGGGAAGTGATGGCCAGCACTGTCAGCACCAACTCCTCAGTGCCTTTGAAGAGGTTCACAAGTAGGGGCTCTGCAAGCAATCCACCGCACCCCACCATGACTCCTTTATGGTGCAAAGGGAAATGAAATACAGGAATGAACAGACTTGTCCACAGCAAAGCCACCCCGGGCTGGTCAGAAACAGCCAAACCTCAGACCCAGGGTGCCGCCAAGGGATTCTGGCAAGTACAAACGTCTGTGCCAGGCACCTCACCTACATCCAGAACAAAAGGAACCGTTCCCAAAAGGACCGGTCCCTGTAGGACCAGTTCTCCAGCTACAGCTCCCGCTAACCTGCAGGAACCATAAACTGGGTCAAATTCCAGGAGCCAGCTCTGCTGGAGAGGAATGAAGAACCAGTGACCCCGGCTCCACCTGGGAGCAGTCAGCAGCGGGGAGCGGGCATAAATATTGCAATCAGGCCCGTTTCTTCCACACACCGTCGCTCTTCCCCCTAGGTAAGCTCTCCCCAGGACAGGAACGCTGCAAAGCCATCAATAAATAAAAGGCTACGGCCCTCTCAGCCTCGATGCTGGCTGCCTCCTTCCCTTCTCCCTGCTCCTGCCCTGCTGGTGACAAATGTATTTCCTAACCGCTCCTGACACCGCGGCCGCCTCTCCCCTCCCTCCTGGCGCACGCTCAGCTGCACACAGGCACGTGCGGCGGTGGAAAAAAGCCCTGAATTGATTGAAGGTGAACAAGTGCTTCTCCTTCATGCTGTCACCCTGGCTGCTGGTGCGCTCTGCCCCTTTCCCCTCCGTCCTGCTCGCTCGGGCTCCATTTCATCGCTTTCTACTCCACCGCGCCGGCGCCTCCTCTCCCCGCGCGCCCTCTCTCCCCGTCGTCTCTCACTTGGCTGCTTCAGAACAATCAGCTCCTGTGGAAACCCGCCAGCACCACGGTGTTTTTCTTAATACAGCAGGACACGTCCAACAAAGGCACCATCCCACCCAAGAGGGGAGCGCCTGCTGCCTCCCAGCCCAGCCAGCCCCCGACGGGACCAAATGGCACGGGTTGGGAACCCGCCAGGCACAAAAGACCTTGACCTAAGGGCATTTCCAGCCCCTTACAGAGTCCCTGGAGCTGGGACACAAGTGGTGTAAGCCCCACTTGGCATCAGGGAAAGCAGAAGAGGATGCAATTTGCCCAGGTTGATGGGGTGACGTGCCCAGAGGGGAACATCGCACTCCCTGTTGGAGACGCATTGGCGCAGCCGTGCCCTGACACTGCAGTGCTCCCGAGCTGGGAGCTGTGGGATCTTCAGTGCAGAGCACCATGGGCTGTGGTCCTGAGCTCCAGCAGCAAGGTCTGCTGCTTTTCTTGCTCCGGGAACCCAGAGGGATGGTGCTAGGCAGTGTGTTTCAGAGTGTGAGAGCAGCTGAGAGTGGCTGGTGCTGGCAGTGGGCTTGAAAACACCCCACCTCTCCAAAACATCCCCAAAAACAAGGCAGAACAGGCAAAGCTGCATTTAAAAGGATCTAACGCCTGCTATATTCCTTCCAGCCTCTTTCCCCAAAGATGTTTTTCTCTTCAGTCCCCTTGGTATTTCTCCCATCTGAGGCAGCAGCACGGACAAGGACGTCTCCAAAGCCAGGGGCTGAACCCGGGGACCCGCTCCGCTCCCCCTGGTGGTCCCGAGAGCCTTGCCTCGGGCAGGGAGAGACAGGTGATGGCAAGCGGGGATCAGGACCGTGCCAAAGGGAGACAGACACTTGGGGCTGTTCGATCCTCACCGTGTGATTTGCCTTCAGAAGCTCAGAGCAGCTGTGGGGAGAGCGGGCAGCCTTCCAGGCTGCCTGGCCACGCAGCAGAATTATTTTCGCATGCGTTTGGATTTAAAAAAAAAAAAAAAAAAAAAAAAAGGAAAACAGAAAACCACACACAAAAACATCACTCCAAAATACGGCAGACCTCTCGTGCACCCCAGAACTCCCTGTCCTTGCACATCTGCTCAGCTCCTGCCCCAGATAAAATCCTCTGTAGGCCCCCCCAGCGATGGGAGCAGCTCCTTCTGTGTCAGACCGGCTCGCCCCAGCAACAGCCCCTTCCTGAGGATAAGCAGCTGCCTTTGGATTCGTGCCACCAGCCACTGCTGGGGCGATCTGCTGACAGCCAAACATCTCCACCTGTTCTGCTGCTGCTCAGCCAAATCTGGATCCCAAGCATGTGTTTTAACGGCACTAATCACCACGCCGCGGTACAAAGCTGGCACTCCCGAGCCCTGCGCAGACCCAGAGGCGTCCAGAGGGCTTGTCGCTGCCCAGCCAGCTGAAACAGCTATTTCTGTTTTATAACTATAACTTCACGGTTTAAGGGAAGGATCTGGGAAAGCCTCGTTACCTGGGACTAATCAATCAAGCCTGGGACTTGGATGGCCTCCAGCGAGAGGCCAGCTCTGCCCTTCCCGCACGCGGCACCCTCCGACGCTGTCAGGTCTGGAGCAGCACGCTCCATCTCTCCCTCTCCGTTACCCTACGTGTCACTGTCACCACATCCATTACCTGTGGATGGGATATTGGCAGCCCATCACTCCGTTTTTTTTTTGCTCACCTGATACTCCCTGCTCAGAAATGCCAGCTCCAGCTGGACGCCCACCAGCCTGGGACCGGGCACAGCTCAGCGGGGTTGGGACCGGGGCTGCAGCTTGGCAGAGTCCTCTGGCCAAATGCTGAGCCTTCAAAACCATCAGGAGAGCCCGATGTGCGAGGGAAGCACCAGCCTTCAGATGGAGGACGCTCAGGAGATGGTGCGGAGCAGACCAGAACTCTTTTTATAGTTAAAAAGGGCGATAAAACAAAATGTTTCTCACTGTAAGAAAGAGAATAGCTCTCTATCAGCAATAACAGGAGCAAAAGCCCAAGGCAGGCACACAGCACTGTTGGCTCACAGGTCAGGGCTGCCCGAGCCAGCAAAGAAGCAGAGGACCTTCTGTTCCCAAGAGCCTCCTGACATTCCTGATTTTCCTCCCCTCCCACTGCACAAAAGCATATCTGGGCGATTCCATGGGCTGGCCAGCGGGATTTTGCCATCAGTAAGTGAAAAAAAAAAAAAAGAAAAAAAAAAAAGAGAAAACGACACCAGCGGGTACAAAACAATCCCAGGGAGGCGAAGCTGCAAGATTTTCCCACGTATTTCTTACAGCACGCAGATGGCACGATGGTGAGTGAGGCCGGAGGAGCAGGCAAGCTGCTGCTCCAAGAGATCGCCCTTCCCTACAGCAGCCTCCCAAACCTGCGTCCGGATCTGCCAGCACCACCCGAAGGAAGAGATGCAAACAGGGTAGAAAAGGAAGAAAAGAATTTTTTCTTCCTTTACAGAGCCCTTGCCTTCAGAGGGAAATGTGCAAGGACAAACTAGCCAGAAAGCACCAAATCTGTCAGTACCTGGGCACCTTCTAATGGTGGCAACGACCATAAAACGTGCTAAATCCAGCCAGACTTTGCCTGGTGCAGGGCTCCAGAAGCAGCTGGCAGAGATTCACGCAGAAATGCCTAAAAGCTGCAAAGAAAGTGCCTATCAGCATGGATTTTCCCATCAACCCCAAGCAGATAACAGACAACGTGCGCCGCTACCTCTATTGACACATGCGGCAGCTCCCCTTCTATAAAATTGCGGTATCATTTTCAGTTGTTATCGGATTTTTTTTAAACCTTTTCAGGAGTAACAATATCCCTAATGCAAGGTTAAATCATCCCTTTGCATCCCTCCTGAGCTGGGAGCTGGCTCTGTGCTCCGCATCGATCCGTGCCGCGCCAGCCCACAGCCGCATCCACGGGACCCCGGCCCTAATAGCGGGGGCAGAGAGCTCCCCCCGAGCCTGCAGGGGCACGGGGAAGGGAAATCGGGGCTGCACACCCCCATCTGACACCGCTTTCCCCCGAGTGGAGGGCAGACAGACGCAGCAGAAGCCTGGAGAGCAGCGGTGGGAGCTCTGCCTTCTCCCCGCCGCCGCCACCCGGGTTTGCGCAGGAGCAACGTGCAGAACGGGCAACGTCCCTCTCTTCAAAGGGAAATTGGGCCCTCGGTGGCTCCAGCTCCTGTTTGTTATAACCCCGAACTGTTTGCGCTCCGCATGACTCTGGTTTTAATCATTTATTCATCAGCGTGGCTTGATGGCCCCTCTGCATTCCAGTCTGAAGCTTTTAAACCCTCGCTACGCTGTAGGCATACTGAGAGGAGCAAGTGCTTTCCCTGGGACCCGGGAATATAAGTAAATATGACAGGCTCTGGTTGCATTTTTTTTATTTTTCCCCACACACATCAAAAGCCATTACTCCGTAACAGATGCTGAGGACAGACGGCAGATCTGGGGAGACGTGAAGAAAAACTCTAACTTTTTAAAGCCAGGTCTGCGCGAAGCGATCAAACGTAATCCGTTCACCAGTGACCCGCTCCTCCCTCCACTGGCTCCTCTTTGAGTCTGCAATAAAATTACTCCTCTGAAGCCTCCGATTAATGGATGAAAAGACAATTGCCTTCCTCCAGCTGAAGCAGGAGGGGATGCACAACCCCCAGCGCCCCGAGTGCACCACCTTTTCCATGCTTGGTTACTGGAGACGGGCGTCCTGTGCTCGGAGTTGCCTTGATTTTAAAAATAGACTCGGGAGGGCTGATGCTTGCCGAAGTGACAGATCCGGGGGAGAGGCTCGGTGCTGTGCTGTGTGCTTCTCCCTGCAGGCGACGGTGACTGCCGTGCTCAGGATGTCCCCGTGTAGCCCAGAGAGGCTTCCCCTAATCTGGTTGGCACGGATAGCAGCAGCTAGAGGGGCAGCACCGTGCTCACAGCTGTACCAGCCCGCAGGGCTTCGGGAGGAAGCAGGACAGGATTTTCAGAGGGCTTGTTCCTTGGAGGCACCTGAAGTCAGACGTGCCGTGGTGCTGGCACCGAACCAACAGCCCCTCTTGGAACTGCAGGGCGATAAATCTGCATCCCAGCACGTTTACCAGCCCAGTGACTGCGGGGCACAGCCACGGCTGTCATCCTGCAGGAGGCACATTGCAGCTCAGAACCTGCCCAGCAGAGCCCGACGGGCAGCCCACACCACCACCAGGTCACGCAGAGTTGAGGTTTGTAGAAGCTCACTGGAGTATGCTTTTTTTTTCCGTCGTGGTTTTGATAATTTTTATTCCACCCCTACGCCGAAGACTGAGAAGAGCCACCAGGAGCCGAACTCGTGTTCAGCACAAATTCCTCCGAGGCTGACTCAGAGGTGGCCCAAGGCAAAGACAAAAAGTTTCTGTTGTCCAAACGCGGGATGGATCCTGCAAAGCAACAGCTGCAGGATCTGGGAGGGGGGGATCTCTGGGGAAGGGGTGCTCTGGTGCCTGCAGGGTGCAAACCCCAAGTGCAGAGAGGTCTCCAAGGAAGAGTGTGTGATCAGGGGCCTCCTCTGCTGCCCGGTGGGCAGCAGGCTCGTGGAGAACCCATTCCTTCAGCACCGACATCAGTAACCTCCCTCCTCCTCTGGCCACCAGTTTAGAGGCACACAGAAATACCAATGCCTTTACATTTTCTAGCCCTGCACAACACAAACGGGGCAGGCCTTTGAAAGTGGGAAACGCCGGCTGCCTGCAAACAGCACGGTGCAGCTGGAGGAGAAAACTCAGCCTGGAAGGCAGCTCTGACGGGAGGGAGGATCGTTTAGGGCCGCTCAGGCTGCAGCCCCGGCTTCAAAGCGCGTTTCTGCCCTCCCGGTTCTCACGCTTTGCCGAAAACAAAAATAACATCAGAGCTGCCTCTGCCCCACACAGCTGCTGGGAGGAACGAGCTCTCAGACGCCGCTCTCCTGCCTGCTGCCAGTCCACGTGCCCACGGCAGCAGAGACGTGGCCGTGCTCTGTGATTTTGGGTGATTTTGGGGTCGGGGCTGCCCTTTCTGAGCAGCAGACACGCTCCAGGACCACTGGGTGCTGCTCCCACGGCCCTGGGGGGCACCCAGCAGAGGCACGCTGCAGCCCGAGCAGCACCAGAGGACTTGTGCACCACGTATGAGACTGTTGGAAATTAAGGGTCCATTTATAAGCCCGTTATTAATAAATGATTAATAGATGCCGCCGTATTTCTTAATAACTTACAATAAAAAGATGCTGCAAAAAGCTTAAGCAAGACAGTCCTAACAGATGGTGCTATAAAGTGAATTATAACATGTACAGTAGCTAGTGCAAAGTAATGGATGTCCTCATTTAATAAAAAGAATCTGATTTTATGCAGCAACTTTCACGCTTGAGGCATCTCAATACGCTTTAATGAGCCCTCGTGGCCTCGGCAATAGCTCGCATGCAGCCTTGGCCATCAGGTGCTGTTTTAGCACGAGAGCGGCTGTTGGGCAGGACTCAGGGGTTATTCTGCAATCTTGCTTTTTAACCTTTCCTTGGACGGCTCCCAAAAGCAGCCGGGAGGGCCTGAAAGATGCCACCTCCTAACACTGCGCTGCAGGGGACGACAAACAAGCCTCGGTCCGGGGCTCGCAACGCCTTCCAACTGAGAAAAAAAAAAAAAGAGCGCTGTTACCGCCACCGAAACCAGACTGGCATCTGTATCTGCCTATAAGGCACGCCACAAATTATGTAATTTAATAAACACTGTAATAATAAAGTATTTATTTTGTATAATGAAGTGTTAGTGATTAGAAACCAAACACACATTGGGCATGCTGCTGCGGTTTCTCTTGAACCCATGCCAGTATCACTCAAGGCTAAATATGTCTGCAGCAGGTTGAGAGTAAGTTCCTAGCCTTGTTTTGATCAGCCTGTCAAGTGTTTTAGCTGCCATTCGGGTTTCTTTATATCACACTATAATTGGCTGCTTTCTCAAGGTGCAACGAAGAGAAAAAGCACACAGCAAAACTCGGGCTCCTTGTGCAAAATCCTCCGCTGAAACTCCGCTGCCTTTCTGCAAGCTGATTTCGGCAGCAAAGGGCATTTTGTAAACAGCTGGTGGAAATAGGCTGCAACTGAAAGGCAGCTTGCATTAAACTCCACAAGAAAGCCTTATTTACCCTCGTGTGCTTTCTTTGTAGTGCCGATCAAACCACTTTCGGCTCCCAGGGGAGGCCCTCGGAAAAAAAATAAAGGGAATTAAAAAAAATAGAAAAGCAAGTGACGTCCTTCAGAGCCCGGACGCACCCGAGAGCCCTCGGCACGCTGCAGCAGGGGCGCTTACCCTGCGCCCTCCCTGCCCAAGTTCATCCCCCAGGGCCAGCCGGGCTCCCTCCAGCTCTGTCCTCGCTCGCCCTTGGCTGTGGGTCCGGCGGAGATGCTTTGATCAGAGGCAGCTCGCAGGCATCCCGCTCCCCGGCACCTGAACCCATCCTTCAACGTCAGCTCATCGATTCGCGGATGTCAGGGAGAGAGCGGAGAAAAACACAAGGGTGGAAGGGACAATCCATCACCGGTGGCACAGGACGTGGAGAAACGCGCCCTCCAGAGGGCTTGGCTTTGCTTCCAGGCTTGGCTTTGCTTCCAGGCTATCGGCACGCTCCTCTGCCAAAACACCAGCTGCCTCCGAGCATCGCTGGGGCTGGACAAGGCTCTGAGCCCTGGGTTTGGAGGGGCACACACACCTCCCTGCTGCACCCCGGGCTGCGAGCATGGACAGGGCTTCTTGGGCTGACACCCTAAAGATGAGGAGTGGTAAATTTGGTGGTGACTATGGAACAGAGAGCACTGGCTGGGGCTGCCAGGAGACCTTACTGCCCTCCTCTACAACAGCATCCTACCCAAAAAAACATAAATGCAGGGCTGCCCCTCTGGGATCCTGGGGCTGCTCCCCTCAGAAGGGCTGCTGCTCAGCCAGCGGTGGGGTTTTCAGGTGTCAGGGCCATCTTGCAGCGAGAAGGGAAGCATGCCTTTTCTGTGGTTGCTTCTCTGCGAGGCAGAAATAAGCAACCAAGAATCACGTGGCCCTGCAGCCGCTCAGATCAGAGCCTGGGCTCGCTGTAGAGCAGCATCAAAGGCTTCTGGGTGTATCCTTCACACTTGCACTTTGTCCCTTTGGCGTGACAAGGCTGCCTGGCACACTTCATCCTCTCTTTAGCTCAGCTATCTGCCGCCGTGGGCAAGGAACAGAAGGGAAGCAGAGCACCAAGCCTGGAGTTTCCTGCCTCAGCTGGAGAACATTCAGTGCAGTACAGGCGTGCTTATACGTAAGGTTTCCCTCCTGCCACCTTTCCTTCAAAGCTGCAAGCAGCTCTCAGTTTGCAAATTCTCACTTCTATTGCCGAGCCTAAATTGACAGATCTGTTAACACTTGTACCTCTGTAGATGAAGAGCAACATTTCTACGTTGACAAGTATTAGTATTTCTCTTACCTGGGCTGCAAGAAATTCTAAAGCCCGCGTGCTGTCATGTAAAGTAATACAAACATCGAGGACAGAAGATTGGAATGGAAAACGCAAGCTACTAAAAATGAAATATCCAACAAACAGCATAGCTCCAGGCAGCACGGTGCCAACATGCAAGGGAAAAATCCAATATTTCCACCTTTCTTCTCGGTGCTAGAAAATTAACAAGCCCTATTCCAGGTGCTGATGCTCTTAGCGGGTGTCTGGAAGTGCCCCCCCACGACCCAGGACCCCCAGCACATCGAGGACGGGCAGCGCAGCGTTACCATGACGTATGTCACACTCAAGCAACTTGTAACCTCCAAAGAGCGCGTTTACCCCAGACCGAGCATCCAACTGAAAGTGGTTTTTAACAGTTTGTGAACCGCATGCAGCCGGTAGCTAAAGAGGCTGGAATTGTTTAGGAACTTATTTCCAAAGTTGCTCTAATTACAATGCATGGGGTCTTGCTGCTGAATCTCAAAGACAACACAATCCCTCCAGGCTTACCATCTGTGCGCTGAATTCGGGTAACATGATGCATGTCGCTCCCACCCAGAGAGGACAGAGCAGCTTATTGATCACCCCGTGGACATGATGTAAAGGCAGCACGTGCAGAATCACATCCTCCTTCTTCCACTCCCATTTTTCAACCAGCCCCGTGGTCTGCAGAAGAAGACATACAAGGCAGTGTCAGGGCAGGACAGCCTCTCCCAGCCACGATCCCCCGTGCGCAGCTGGTGGCAGAAACCCCAGAACAAGGCTTAGGCACAGAGATTTATTCTTCAGGGTCAGCAGGAGCAAAATTACCACCACAAACAGAACACCAGAGGAACAGCTTCTGCATCTTTTTGTTATATGTGTTAATTTACATCGATGGCCTTCCTTGCGACTGAGGAAGATAAGTTGTAAATGCTCCAGTAGGACCCACAAAATTATTAGCCTGTTGCTGCACAGCCAAGGATGACAGAAACATTAACCCAGAACCTAAGTTTTCCAGAAGGCAGCTGACATGGTTTGGACACTGATGACACTGCTCTTCTAGCATGTGTAAGGGATAACTGGTGGGAGCAGGAAATCAGTGTCTCAAAGAGAAAATAGTAAAATAATAATAAATCAAACGTCTAGATAATTATCCCTTCATAACAGGGCATTTTAAAGTGTTAGGCCTCACGCTTCTGGGTAGAACAATGTCCTTCAGGGCCCAACATCAGCAACTGGAGAGCTTATTTCCAGCTCTCTAAAAATAAAAAAAGCATTCGGAGGGTGGAATTCAGCCGTGCCATTCACAGCCCTCTCCCACAGGGCAGGGAGCAGGTTTCAGCCTCTCTGCGAGGCAGCACAAAAGACAGCTCTGGCTTCGGCTGCCTCCCAGATGATCAGCATATTTGTGAGGGAAGGGATTCTTTGCCCGATATAGCCGAGTGCTGCCTCTATCCATCAAGGCTCTCCCACCACGCCCGGCGCTGCAGTATCTGCATCCGGAACGGCGCGAGCTCGAGGACGTGTCTGTGAGGCCCGGTGTATTCCCTGCCCTTTTTCCCTAATGGCATGAGCCTCTCTGTTGCAGGCAGCGATAACAAACCGGTGAGGCAGTCAGCAGGCTCATTCAAACTTTTAATTCCTTTTGGCTCGGAGAGCTAATGGATTTTTTTGCCTTGGGGATATATAGCTAAATAATGCACAGACTTCACACGGTACGGTGCTGGGCTGGGCTAAGTTATACCCCAATTATGGGCAAAGATACTTTCCTAGTGGCAGGGAAGAAAAGGAAATTGCAAAGAAAGCAGTCCTACAACAGGTCTCACCCCTTCTGCTTTCCAGGGAAGGAGGGAGACCTGCCCCTGGCACAGCACGAGGGTCAGAGCCTCAGGCACCAAGCTGGGTGTGCTCACACCAAAAGCAGTAAGGACTTTGAAGACACAGCCCCTGTGCAGAAATTAGGTCACACTCAGGTGTTTTGTGCCTCACGGCCCCAAATCACCTGTGAGGGCCAAGGCCTCTGCAACTCAATGTGAGCATTGCAGAGAGAAAGCAGCACTCACCACGGCCTGCACGTTCTCATGGGTGCTGAGGACCCCTTTTGGTCTTCCCGTGGTCCCACTTGTGTAGATTATCATGGCTCCCCTGTCTTTCCAGGAGGCACAGGACGCCAAGGGCACATCTTCCACTGCTGCATGACTTGCAGACCCATCGCCACCAGCCTTAGGAAGTGGCAGAAGTGGGACTCCCAGCTTCTCGGCACTGGGGGCTATTTTCCCCACGTATTCCTCTGCTGCGATGACGAGCGCGCTCTGCGAGTCCTGGATCACGTACTCCAGCTCCTGCACGGGGTGCTTCTTGTAAAGGGGCACGGCTATGCCTCCGCTCATCCAGGAAGCCCACTGGGCAACCACGTACGAGGCATCGTTGGGGCACAGAAACGAGATCCTCTCCTCCTCCAAGTCTCTGCTGGAGCGCCCCAGGACCCTACAGATCTCCTGCGACAGGCGCAGGCTTTGGCGGAAGAGGTCCGTGTAAGTGTGCTCACCGTGTTGGTCAACGATGGCGATTTTATCACCAAAAGTCAAAGCCCTAGTGAAGACGGGGGCAGTGTCACGGCTGCTGGCTGCCCGTGAGGTTCGCAGCCCCCGGTGGGGACAGGCAGCCCCCTTCTGCCCACGCAGCCACCACCGGCACCGCTGCAAGTCACGGCCGAGGCGTCGGAGGGGCCAGCTCGCCGGGGGGAAGAGCAGGGAGCCCAGCATCCTGCCAACAGCGCTTGTTTTGAAGTGATCCTGCAGAAAGCAATTATAGGAACAGATAAGTCTGAGCAGCAATTACCCAGGGGTTCATTCCCACCGAGGAAAAGTGGCAGCCTTCATTTGAATAATACCCGCTGTATTATTAATGCTTCTGCTTCATTCTGCTGGATCCCCAGCGTGCTTGGCCCTGCCCAGATGGAGCAGGAGGCAGAGCCCCATCCCTCCGCAGCCTCCACATCCCCAAGAAACACTTTAACTTAAATTATGAAGCAGTTTTCATCAATCAGTAATATCAGAACACTGAATAATGGCTACTTGAGGTGCCGTCCTAACTCGATTTCACCAACATTTAAGGAAATTAAATTACAGGATTAATCAGCTCTCAATTTGCACTTTTCATTGTTTTAGTAAACCAATGCCCGGCTCAAGAGCAGCAGCACAGAGCCAGAGACAAAATCCAAACCTCCTAAATTCTAGCAAGTGGAAACTTGCTGCCCTCGATTCACACCGAGGAACAGGCGAGCGCTCGAGCCCTGCGACCTGACAGCTCATCCATCACAAACGCCGCTTCAGCTCGGGAGCTTTCTTACCCAACAGTCCAACCAAGAGGTTAAATTCACGGGCAGCAGGAGCCCTCGGCACGCAGCTGGTGTTCCCAGCAAGCAGCAGCTGCAGGTTTGTCACCGCGCTGCTCACCGTGCAGGACTTGTGGCATTCGGAGCTGGGCTGAGCATCGGGACAAGCTCAGCCACGGCACCAGCACCAGCCAGAGCTCGACCCAGGCACCCAGCCTGGCCTCTGAGCCACAGCAAGATTTATCAATGGGGAAAATCCCCAGAAGGGAACTGGAGGGAGAACTGGTGCTGTTAGAGGCTGATCTTTATTAGAGGCCTTCCTTACAGGAAGATCAGGGGCTGGCACAAGCGCTCTGCGTCCTGTCTTTGTGCAGAGGCATCAATCTGCTCGTGAGAGATGGTGTAACCGGGGAGAAGCACTCGAAACCTGCTCTTCACCTCTATTTTCACCATCCCCTCCCTTTCAAGGGGAAAAGTCTGCAATAGCATCAAGCTCTTGAGCGACAGAGGGCTGAGGAGCTGCCTCAGAAGAATCTCAAATACCCTCTGCACAGGGCCTGGAGCTCACCCAGAGCAAGCAGAATAATTCATTTTAGCTAACACATCTTCACCGTACAGAGACTGTCACCACCACCAGCAGGGGAGCAGAGAAGGGGAAAAGCAGGGCCGGAGCAGAGGTTTTACTCCGTTGTTTGTCCAGTGGCTACAATTAAACTCCACCACTGAAGTACATCTCAAGAGGTGCTACGAGGAAATAGCCAAGGATGACAGCTTCTCCTTCCACGGACGCCCTGGTGACAGTACGTGGTGTTTCCTTGATGCTGCCAATCGTGACTTGATTTTCATAAAATTTTGATAAATATCTGTTAGCGAAATGGCTCGACTCGAACAGCCTCCCAGCTCAGCTTCCCACCATGGGGAGGAGCTGAAACAAAAAGGATTCAGAGAGCCGGCAGCTCCTCAGGGAAGAGCTGGGCGCAGCTTTGCTGAGCTCAGGCTGCTCGGATGCCTCCGCTGACAGCAACAAGTGTTGGCTTGTGCAGAGACGTAGCCGTGAGACCCGCAGACTCTCCCATCCACATTCAGAGTGTTTCTCCCATCGGAAACTGCTCTGCACGTATTTTCTTTTGCATATCAACCTCAATTTCTGCTTCTGCAAAAGAAACTTGTGATTTACTGCGGAAACGTGGGGGGAAAAGCTTTAAACCCAGAGGGTGTTAACCGTGTGTACTCATGACTTGTACCACCAGGATGGAAAAAAACAAAAAGGTCATGACAAAGCTAGCATGACATCTTTCCATTTCTCTGCAGAGACTAAAATATAAAATAGAGAACACGGCCTGAAACCTCAACCGAGTCACCTCCACCCAAGCTGTGCCCAGGGCTGGCTCGCTGGCGAGACGTTCATGTCCCGGACGTTTAAGAGGGGCACTAATGGGAAGTGACCGAGTGCCAGGACCGCGCCGTGCTCCCGGCCAGCACAGCTAAGTGCACTTGGCACGCTGGCTTTTCCTCGCCAGGCTCCAGAGCAGGTGTTAGCTGCTGCTGCTTCAGAACGGCGGCTTCCAAAAATTGCATTATCCCTCTTCCACCGCAGCGCCAGTCCAGATTTAATGGAACAATAAACGGCAGCGCCTTCAGCCGGGCCTGGGCATTTAGGGGCTTCGCAGAAGTGGTGCTGACTGCGTGTGTGCGCACAGCGACAGGCGCTCGGGATGGCACGAGGAGGGTCACACCGGGCCTGCTTCCTTCACCCTGCTCAGCAATAATCAGCAGCACAAACGTTCCCCGGCTGTGAATACATGATTTAGGAGCCTGCCACGGATGGCAGAGGATGGCTGTAGCACAGCAGACGGGTGTTTGCTGCCCTAAAGAAGTCAGCTCAGCCCCAGTCCCTCTGTGGTGAGGGCTGGGTGGGGAGCTCACGGCACCGTGCAGCCGCTGCTGGGGGCTGTGGTGGTCTCCAGGCTCTGGAGGCAGCAGGGCTGGGAATAAAACCCCAAACCCTGCATCTCCTCCAGGAGGGGAGTGCATTACACCTCCTGCACCCCGATGACGACCTCTTCCAGCACTCTGGGAGAACCCCCCCCGCCTTGCCCCACGGTCCTCCAAGAGCAGAGAGGGGGGGGAATGAAATCCCACCGCACACAGCCAGGACCAGCACAGGGCCGGGCCTCACCCCACGGGAAGCCCCCAGGGATGGGGGCGGTCGTCACGGTGACATTAACGCCCCGCCACCGGCAACGCTGCGCCCGCAGCCGCTTCCCGAGTGGCACCGGTGCGCCCCCGCCTGCAGGCCCCGACCAGGCCGCAGAGCAGGGCCGTGCCGTACTGGGCCGTACTGGGCTGTACTGGGCCATACTGGGCTGTGCCCCCCGTCCCCCCTCAGCCCCTGTGAGGCCTCACCTGGAGGCTGCGGCCCCGCGCCCCGGGGGAGCGGTCCGGTAACGAACGGGCGCCGGCGGAAACACCGCGCTGCAGCCCGCTCGTTCCGCACTTCAAACGTTCCCCCTTCCTCCTCCCCCTAACCCGTTTTATGACCATTTGACCCCAAAACATCCCCGGGGGGGTGTCACAGCAGGGCTCTGACAGCACCGCGTCACCCGGTGTTATCAGCACGGGGCGCGTGATGTCATGGTGGGGCCGTGACGTCGCGGCCTGCGGGCGCCATTTTGCGCAGGCCGCGCGAGGGCCGGGGCTGGGGAGCAGGAGCGGGGCTGGGGCGTGGGGTGGCGTCGGCGGGGGCCCTGCGGCTCCCCCCTGGGACCTTCCCCTGCGCCATGGGGCCGTAGCGGGCAGCGGGGCCGACCCCCGCCCACCCCCAGGTGTGTTTCCACCCGGGGGCCGCAGCGGAAGCTGGGCGCCCAGTGCTCGGCTCATCACCACACCAGTTGTCACCACACCACCAGTTGTCACCACACCAGTTGTCAGCACACCAGTCACTCCTTTTTGCACAGCCCCTTCCCCGCTGCACGGCTCCCTCCTTGCCATGCAGCCCCCTGCCCGCTGCATAGCCCCGGCCCCGTTGCACGGAGCCATCCCCGCTGCACGGCTCGCCCCACGCAGCGTGGCCCCACGTCACGCAGCTCTTGATGGAAAAATCCCTGCCTATTGCACCGCTCCCCATTGCAGGTCACCTTCCCCAGTGCACTGCTCCCCGTTGCACGGCTCCCCAGTGCACGTTTCCCCATTGCACGGCTCCATAGTGCGCAGTTCCGCATCGCACAGCTCCCCATTGCACGGCCCCACATTGCACAGCTCCCCATGGCGCAGCTCCCTTCCATTGCACAGCTCCGTGTTGCACGGCTCCCCGGTGCACATCTCCCCATCTCACAGCCCCCCCTGTGCAGTGAATCTGCTGGGGGGCCCTGGCCACCTTCCCCCCCCAGAGGGCTCACAGCCACCATGCCCACGTGCCGCCCTGCAGCTGCACCCGCTCCCCACCACCCCGGCCCTGCCGCCTTGCCTTCATTCTCCTTTCTGTACTCACCATCTGTCACTGCCTTCCCTCGGTCCCCAGCCACCGCACGCTGCAGGGATTAACCCCCCCGACCCAGGGGAACAAAGGGGGGGCTCTGGTGGCACCGGGGTGCTGCTGGCCCCAACATCCCCGCGATGGCACGGACAGGGTGCACGGCATGGGGACAGACCTGTGGCAGCCGTGGGGATGTGCACGGGGCAGGATGTTCCTCTGCCCCTCTGGTTTGTGCAGGGACCCCCGATCCGGGGTGGGGGGACACAGCCAGCTGCCCACATGCACAGCAGATGTCCACCCCGCACCACCCTCTGCCGCTCCGTCCCCCGGCACCTGCTGGCCACCAGCCATCTGGACCCCCAAGTCCCTGGGGACGATGTTCAGCGCTGTCCACCCACCTCCACCCCCACTGGGTGCCCCGTGGGACGTGTGGGGATTTTCAGGGACCGGCCGTGTCCCCACGCAGCTCCGTGTCCCCACGCAGGTGCCCCGAGGCCACCACGGTTCTCCCCACCCTCCCCGCGGTGGCTGGGGCTGAGCCGCGCACCCCGCGCCAGCGGGAGCATCCTCCCCATCGCATTAAGCAGCTTGCTGATTAATTATGGATCCAGCAGAAAGCTTTTATTACATTAGAGTTTACTTGTGGCAACATCCGTATTTATTAAAAAAAAAAAAAAAAGGGAAAAAAAAAAAAAGGAACGTAATTACTAATGTGGTGTAAACAGCACTATTTTACGGGGAGGTTAATGCCTGGGGGGAGCTCTGCGGGCGGTGCTGGCTCCAGCCCGGTGCCCTGTGGTGGGGACGGGGACACGGGGGCACAGGGGGCTGCCACCGCAGTGGTGCTGGGGGTGAGGACGAGCTGCCCCAGCTAAAATATGGAGAGGAGGGGGGCAGACACACATCCCACCTCGCTAAGATGCCCTGCGGCCACGGGCACCGTGTCCCCAACCCGCGGGGGGATGCCCACGAGTGCCAGCGGGGCTCCCTGGGGACGGGAGCAGCGCGGAGCCACTCGGCGTGAAGTGCAGCCGTAAGTGCCTCCCCGCGTCACGTGGAGAGGATAAGTGCAAAATGGCCCTATTATGATAATTGTGCGAAATTATGATTGATGGAGATTAGCTGCTTATTTGAGGAAATGGCAGGCGCACGTGTGGCATGGCCGGGCTGCAGGGTGGGAGCCGGGCCCGGCAGGCACCGGTGATGGGGACACGGGGAGGGGGGCGCAGGGACGGCCCCTGGGGCTCTGCCTGTGGGATGCCCCGGCCCCACCATCCCAGAGCTGCTGTGTCTGTGTCCGGTGGCTCTCACCACCTCATTAAATACATCCCCAATTAGAGGGAGAAGTCGTTCAATGGGGATGGCACGCGGGAGCTGTGCTGCAGGGCTGTGCCGGGGGGATCTGCAAGAGCAGAGGGCAGCGGGGCAGTCCCAGTCCCCGAGGCTCCCAGTCTATGGGAGCTCCCAGTAAAGGTGGCACACAATAAATGCTATTTTCCATGAAGCCAACCAGGGGGCTGTGCTGGTGCTGGGCTCCCAGCCCGTCCCTGACTGGGTGTCCCCGAGCGCGCCCCTCGGGCTCGTGTGCTGAAGCCACGCTCCCGCTTGAGCCTCATCTCACTTCAAAACTACACCAAGAGTAGGAATTTAGGGAAGAAAATCAAAAGTGAAGAGGCGTGGAGGGCTGCGATGCCATCTCCTGCCCTGCCGAGGGCCGGGCTGTCCATCCCAGCTGGGGCACACCCGGGGAGCGGCGTGGGGACTCCACATCACACCAGGCCGCGGTGGCCATGCAGGAAGGCACATGGCCAAGGGGACCCCAAAACTACCCACCCCTCGGCGCCGAGTCCCTCCTCCGCTCTCCCCTTCCCAATTTCCCGGGCCCCCCTCTCTCGGCAGGCGGATGCTGGGTAAGAGGTGTGTCTGCGGGAGCCGTGCTCGCCACGCAGCATCGCCGCGCCGGGGCTGCCGGCGTCGCCTCCCGCTCCTCGGGAAGGGCTCGCCCGCACGGGATGGGGATGCGGGTGGGGACACGGGGACAGACGGGGCCCAGCCTCCCCACGAGGGGCAGCAGGGCCGCAGCAGGGCCCCCGCACTCTCCACCAAGCGACGAGGACGTGGCAAAAGGAAGGGTCGCCAGCGGGTCCCCCATGGCCGGTGATGGCGGCGCCGCCAGATCCTTTCTTTGCCTTTTTTTTTTTTTTCCCTTTTCATCCCCCCCTCGTTTGGCTTTTGGCAGCGGTGCTGGGGAGGGCTGGCGAGCGGCAGCAGCCCCCCGCCGCCCCGGCCCCGTGCCAGGGCGGGTGATGGCAGAGGGGCTCCGCTCAGCTGCGGGAACGTCCCTGCGCCGCGCTCGCTGCCAATTTCCCTGCGAGCTGGCACCGCAGGCGGCTCCGGAGGCAGCGGCGCAGAGGCTGGGGATGGATTGTGAAAGGGAGCGAGGAGGAAAGGAAAAAAAAAAAAAAAAAAAAATGGACACATGCCATCGCTGGAGCGGCGAAGCTGCCAAAATGCCAGCAGGCAGCGTGGGGCCGAAACCCGCCGGAGGGGAGAGGAGGGTCTGAAGCCCGTCCCGGCGCGGGTGGCGGTGCATGGAGGACGGGCAGAACGGCGGAGGCGCCGCGTGGCCGGGGCAGGACAGGTGTTGGACGGTGAAGCTGGCGAGGAAAAAGGTATTTGCCTTCATTTTAAAGACTGCTCGGTGCATGCGTGAGGGGCTGGGGTGCCGTGCGGGCTGCCCGCGGCCTCGCCGCCCGTGCCGCGGCGCTGCCTGCACCGTGTGCCTCCCGGTGCCTACGGAGGCAGGCGAGGGGCCCCGGGTGCCGGGGGATGGTTGTAGGATTTGTCGTCCCCTGGCCGTGCAGGCGGGGAAGCTGCCCAGGGGCCGGGGCTGCGGCTTTGTCTGGTCGGGCTTTGTCTGCCGGGATGGAGGCGGCAGGGCTGGGACACGCGGGGGGCTGGCTGGATCCTGCCTGGCCGGGAGCAGAGCACGACAGGAGGCAGGAGGCTTCCCCTGAGCAGTTTGGGAAGGGGGAGCAGGGTGGTGAGACCCCCTCGGCCCCGGGAAACGCAGCCCGAAGGGGCTCTGGCACCCAGCGAAGCTCTGGGCATCGCGGAGGCACGGAGTCGGAGCCGGCTGCTGGGAGCAGGGCAGCACGTGCCCCAGCACCGCGTCCGCTGTCCTGTGGGAGCTGTCCCCAGTTCCCAAACTGGGAGCAGGCTCAGGAGGGAACTGGAGAGCAGAGCTATGAGCCCTGGCAGAGCAGAGCCGTGGGGATGAGGCTGAGGTCCCCAGCCCAAAGGGGACGGTGGCTAGGGCACTGCCCTCACCCCCTGGCCAGGCTGGGTTTGGGGCCACGGGGTGCATGTGTCAGGGCTGTGGGTGCGTGTTTTGGGGTGCGGGCTGCGTGCCAGGGAGGGGGCTGCAGCACTGATGCTGCCTGGTGCTGAGCCCCTCACTCTACCCTGACTCTGCCTGATGCTCTGCGCCCACGAAGGACCCTGGCTCTGTCCCCTCCGCCCACACCCCACCAGGACAACCTCCTTCAGGGTCCCCAGCCCTGAGGATGCCCCATGTGAGCCTTACGGGGCCATTGTTCACAGCAGGATGAGGCTCCGAGCCGCCACCACGGGGCTGAATCCTGCCCCATGCTGCGGGATGCCTCCCCCGTGCCCCCCTCTCCCTCGTTTTCCTCCATATTTCACAGTTCCTGCTTCCTGCACAAGCCGGGGGTCTCCAGGGACTCCAGCCAGATGTTCTCTGCAGCACACCACATTGCTTTCCTAATGAAATATTCATGCAGCCTCGCCGCCTTTTGCCATGAAAGCCTTCAACAGCTCCCAGCCGTGGAAGCCCGGGGCAGGCAGCGCTCCTGCCACATCCTCGGCTCGGCGCTGGCCCCTCGCTTCATCCCCTCCGTCCTCTTCCTCACCCACCTTGGGCTGAGCCTGCTGGCACAGGGGCTTCGTCCCCGCTCCCCTGAGACCTTGAAGGGGGGCATCACCGAGGGCACTCTGCCGTGGGGACAGCAGTGTCCCCAGCCAGGGTGACCCCGGTGCCGGGTCCCCGTGGTGGTCACCAGCC